ACATCTTGTGATGAGTCAGGGATCCCCTAAGGCAGCCGCAACTTTCCCCTTTGCAAGGAAGCTCCGTGCGGCCATCCTGAAGTCACGGGCAAGAGACAGCAGCTTGACAAAGGCTTCTGATCTCCGCACTGTGGTACCTTGATCCCCTCCACTCCTTCTCAGTAGAGTCACAAAGCCCGTCTGCTCATTGGAGACATGACTGGGGAGTGTCCAGGCACATGGATAACCTCCTTTCCTACATCACCATTATTTTTTACACAGAGTTTCATGGGGGCAGCGGCCTGACTTGATGTGTTGGGACCCTCCAGAGTCAGGCTTCTGCTTGAGGAATCCAGTAACAGATTTGGTTTCGTGCTAGGTGTCAAACGTGGAATCTTTGGACATTGGGGCCATAGTCTATAAATTACTGCTTTACCACAGTGACACTCTTTTGTTTTTTTTAACATAGTAATCCCAGCGCTGCCACTCTCTTCTCCTGCTCTCCCCACCTTCCCCTCACTCCCCCCACCCCTGCTTTTCCTCCTCAGAGAGGGTAAGGCCTCCCTGGGGAGTCCACGAAGTCTGTCCCATCGCCATGCTGAGGCAGGACCAAGGCCCTCCCCACTGTGTCTAGGCTGAACAAGGTATTTCTCAATAGGAAAGGGGCTCCAAAAAGCCAGTTAATGCACTAGGGATAGATCCTGGCCCCACTGCCAGGGGCCCCACAAACTTCCCAAGCCACCCATTGTCACCTGCATTTGGGGGGCCTAGTTTGATGTTATGCAGGCTCCCCAGCTGTCAGTCCAGAGTCAGTGATCTCGAGTCAGCTGTTTCAGTGGGTTTTTCACGTGCTGGTCATGACTCCTTTGCTCATATTATCACTACTCCCTCTTTTCCAGTGGATTCTGGGAGCTCAGCCCAGTGGCTAGTTGTGGATTTCTGCATCAACACAGAGACACTCTTTTTTTTTTTTTTTTTTTTTTTTTGGTTTTTCAAGACAGGGTTTCTCTGTGGCTTTGGAGGCTGTCCTGGAACTCGCTTGGTAGTCCAGGTTGGCCTCGAACTCACAGAGATCCGCCTGCCTCTGCCTCCCGAGTGCTGGGATTAAAGGCGTGGGCCACCAACGCCCGGCTCACAGAGACACTCTTAACTTGTGTGTGATGACTTAGTCTTTGGGAAGACAGAGAGGGAAGAGACAAGCAACACTTGAAGAGCCTGTTAAAATGGGGAGGGGCATCAGGTGGTGTGGGATATCTGTATACTGTGTGAAGACGTATTGCTGTGATTGGTATAGTAAAAAACTAAAGGCCAATAGCTAGGCAGGAGGTATAGGTGGGACTTCCAGGCAGAGAGAGAGAGAGAACTCTGGGAAGAAGAGAGGAGTTGCCAGCCAGACACGGACAGGAAATAGGAGTCACAAGATAGAAGAGAGGTAACGCCTTGTGGCAGAATGCAGATGAACGTAAATGGGTTAATTTGATTTCTAAGACCTAGTAAAGCAAGCCTAAGTTAAAGGCCACGCTTCCGTAATTAGTGAGTTTCCTCGTCATTTTTGAGCTGGCGGCTGAAGAAAAAGCTTGCTACAATCAGGGAAGCAAAAGCCCTCCTGCACAATCCCGGTTGCTGCCTGGAGTGTCAGCTCTGGTCACCTCCATTCTTTGACCACAGATATGTGGGATGACATCAGTGATCAGACAGCTGCATTGTGCCTAGCAGCTCAAGATCTATATCACAGGGTTTTCGGACTCCTGTTTTATGAATATTTCCATCAAGTCTGTACCCCCCCATATCTTCCCGTGTGGGTGTGGTGATGATGGTGGTGGTGGTGACCATGGTGATGATAATGATAGTGATGATGATGGTGGTGGTGATGATGATGATGATTTTATCCTTGCTTGCTTTGTTAGAGACTGGGTATCCTGGAGCGGGGGCCCGCCTTGAACTCACTCTGCAGTGAGTCTTGGCCTTGGCCTGATCCTCCTTACTGCGTCTCTCAAGTGCCTCATGCCCAACTACACTTCGTTATTTCCCATCAGCCGTATATGTCCTCGTCCCTTCTCACATGAGTTCTCATTTGCCTCCGTCCTTGGAAGACCGGCTGAGACTGCCTCCCAAGCGCAACTCCTAAGGCCCCAAATAAAGTCACCTTCACTCTTGTGGTTTCTGAGTTTGGGTTGACTGTCCTTCCTTTAAGACTCCCTTTTCCTCCTTTAAAATCTAGTCACTCGATAAACGTCTTTTAAGGACCTTGCCCCGCTTCGATTTTTTGAGTGCCCGATTTTTTTTTTTTTTGTTATTTGTGTCGGTAGATTTTGTAACTTTTTTCTCCAAGAATCACCCCATTTATAATTTCCTCACCTTCCCGTGCTAAACGCATATGTGACCTGGACCAGCGGATTTTTCTTCAGTGACAAGATCTTAATGGGTGAGAAAGACAGAATTCAGAAGATGGAGCAGACAGAAACCAGGGTCAGGAGCTCTTACATGATCCAAGGAAGTTTATTAAGAAATACAGCATCTTCTATACTGTTAGCAGAGGGGAAATGGCCATGGTCAGCAGTGGGCCAAGTCAGGCAACATCAGCAAAGAGAACACAGGACACCTCACACATGTAGCCTAACAACTGATAACCACAGCCCAGGGAGAAGAGTCAGGTCCCCAGGAGCCACAACCTTGACTCCTATGAGGCACAGGTGCCACCATCAGACAGGCCTTGCCAAGTCCATTCCTGGAGAAGGACTAAAGTTCCCTTTTTCTTTCCATCGAGGCCTCTAAGAAAGCCTTAAGCCCCTCTGGTTCCCTACCATGTACATGGTTCCCCAGTCCTGTACATGTTTAACTCATTTCATCAGCAGGCACCTTGAAAACAGGTACCATAAATAGATAAATGGAAGGAAGGATGGATGGATGGATGGATGGATGGATGCAGAGATGCAGGAATGCAGGGACAGATGCATGTGTGGTTAGATCACCAATGGACAGACGCATGGATAGTCACAGAAGCATAGGTGCACGGATGCACGATAAATGTATGGGTAGATGCACGAATAGTAGGGAGAGATCTTACTAGGCACCTGTGGCACTGACCGTGCCTGTTTGGGCGTGGCCACACATCCCACTCCTGACACCAGATATAAGATGAAGATCACCATACACGGGACAGGGATGTCATAGGTTATCTTTCATTGGGGAGAAATCATTTACGTGAGACACTGATAACCCAGGGCCAGCGCTCCAAGCCAGTCTCTGCTGCTCTCTGAGACCCAGCCAGAACCCCAAGAGAGAGCTTGCCTCTCTCTCCCCAGGCCTATATCCCCGCACACCCCATATGCACCCGCGGCCACGCCCAAACAGGTGTGGTCAGCGTCACAGGTGCCTAGTAAGATCCCCCCCTACACATGAATAGATGAGTGGATGTACAGATGAGTAACAGATGGGTGGAAGCAGGCATGGGTGCCAGGGTGGGTACCAGGGTGGGTGCCTGGGTGGGTGCTAGGGTGGGTGCCTGGGTGGGTGCCTGGGTGGGTGGGTGAGTGCGTGGGTGAATGAAGGCGCCATTGGAGTCGTTCTCTGGTGGGATGTGGGAGCTGGAGACGGCAGATAGTAAAGTGTCTACTGTGTGCCTGGCCCTGTACAAGGGACTTTTTTTGATGTTTATTTCATTTAACCTCCACACACGACTACAATGCAATTGTGAGTGTTCTGGTTTATTCTTTCACTCGTTTCACGGATAACATACACACAGACTTAGAAAGGACAAAAAAATCACAGCACTGGTTTTATTTCATTGTAACTTTCCTGAGAGAGAGAGAGAGAGAGAGAGAGAGAGAGAGAGAGAGAGAGAAGAGGAGAAAGGAAGGGAAAAGAAGAGATTTCAAATGGGTCACATGATTTAAGCTGGGTCCTGAGCCTTGGGTTCCAGACAGCTCTATTTTACTAACCTGTCATAAAAACATTTAGATTTTCAGAAAGTGGGCAGGGCAGTGTCATAGATCAGGGAGGAAGTTTGAATTCACGGGCATCTGACCAAGAAACACATATCTTCATCACATCGAAGGCTGTCCGACAACACCAAGAAATTATTTGGTTTTGGAACCACATCCCCACAATGAAACTAACAAATTGTTTTCTCTCTGAGCCATTCTCTCTTCCAAGTGAAAGGCTTTCTTTCCCCTTATTTATTTATTTAGAGACAAGGCTTCACTATGCAGACCAGGCTGGCCCCCAACTCACAGAGACTCACCTGCCTCTGCTCCCTGAGTGCTGGGACTAAAGTCTTGCCCCCCCACACACACACCCTGCCCAAGTTAAAGTTAAAAACCCAGAGGGCTGGGGAGACAACTCAGTCTGCACAGTTCCTACCACACAATCGTGAGGATGGGAAAGGGACTCTCAGCAGCTATTGAAAGCTGGGCGTGGCTGCGCATGTCTGTTACCATAGTACTGGGCCTGGGGTTAGGAAGGACAGGCAGACCCTGAGCTCTCACGGAATCTCGCATGTGGATGACACCTGAGTTCAGTCAGAGATCCAGCCTCGAAAGGTAAGCTGAGAGCCATAGTGAAAACCACCAAGGTCACTCTCTGTGGGGGCCACAGGCATGGCTCCGTTCCATCCTGACTGAAGGTCGGAGAGTTCAAACCTATTCTTGCTCCTCCAATGTTAAACAACAGGATGAATTTGATGGAGCAGGTGCAGGTCACTGATGACGTCACATTCCTCATCTCCAATCACCATTCCCTACCCCTAACACCACCCGATTTCTTCACTTCTTCGATGCCCCCATCCGTTATTCTTGGAGAGGTGAACCTGTCTCATCCCTCATCTCGAGCTGACAGGTAGCTGGTGAATAAACTCCAGAAACTTAGGAGATTACCTCACTGTGCAAGGTGAGTTCCTTTCCATTTCCTCCTATCTCCCTGCGTCCAGTCCTCTCAGAACTCAAGGGTTCCCCTACCAGCCTTAATTCTCCTCCAGAGCCCAGCAGGATAAGGACTGAAACACAGACTCCGGAGCCACTCGATTGGTGGAAAACGCTTTATTGGCGGTACTGAGCCTGGGGGAGATTTGCCGTAGAATGGATGTCGGATTCCATGCTAGCCTCCTCTTCGTGGGGTTAGCCTAGGTCCTAGGTCTTAAAGAGAATGATCACTGGGAATCGGGAACTGCACTTCTCAGTCCTTTTACCTGAAGGGCAAGGGGTGATGATCAGATTGAGGACCCCCCAACCCAGGATTGGTACCCCCATAACAAAGCCAGGATGGGAGGGGCTTTGGTGGAAAAGAATTCTTAGCCTGGCCTGAGTTTTCATTGTTTTCTGAATATAGCAGCCGAGATAGCTCTGAGCTATGGGAGAGGTTCATCTTTCCTTCAGTGCCCCCCAATCCTCCGCCTCTCCCCTCACCCCACTCTCCTGAAACTTGGGAACGAATGTCAGTCTTACCTTAGGGAAGAAGTCCCAGTTAATGAAAGGGAATGCCTTTTTGAATGCCTGAAAGGAGAGAGTAAGGTCGGGTAAGCAGGTGTCGGTAACGCTGAGTAAGTACGTGTCGTGTCGTGTCGGTGGACACTCATTGGAGGAGCAGGGATAACACAGTAGTGAGTGCTCAGCCAAGTGTCCCAGCTATTGGCTCGGTTTCTAATCACGGCGAGAGCCCACATTCTGGAAGCCTCGTGCTGTGTCTGTTTGGCATTAGCAGCTGTGCAAGCATGCTTTCATTTAGGGCAGCGGAGGAGCCTCTTCGGGTAAGCATTGTCTTCAAAGATGCTTGCAAGGGGCATAGAGCAAAGGACACTAGACTAGCTGTGCCTCTGGCTCAACTCTCTTAGTTTGGGTAAACCCATTTCTCCATGAGGAATCGAGGACTCAAATAAATTGTGATTGGTTGGCTTGTTACAAGTCGGGACCTTAACTGCACACCCCAGGCTGGCCTCGAATTCATGATCCTTCCACCCCTGGCACTGGAGTGCTGGGATTACAGGCATCCTTCACAGGCCTGCCTGCCTCTCAACTACACCCTAAGCACTTACATCAGTGATGGCATGCCAGTTCAGGAAGTCCTCAGACTTGAAGGCCTGTGGGGGGTGGGGGAGAGAGGCCAGAAGCCAGTCAGTTCCAGAGGCCACCCGTACTTCCCCCAGCCCGATGGAAAAGAGGAAGATGGGCCCCGGGGAACTTTGCAAGCTGTCTCCTCTGTGAGGTGGGCAAGCCGCAGAACCATACTCACAGACTGCAACTTGTCAAGGTTCAGGAACTGACTGTTAAAGCCCTAGGCAACAAAGCAGGGTGTTAGGGGAGTCAAGGAGGGGGACAGAGAGGTGGGGGCGCCCGGGAGAGCATGGGCAAACGGGTGCTTACCTCGGATCCCACAGCATAATTACTGATGTTCGACTCCTCCTGGAGAGGGTGACGGAAACCAGACAAGTGACCCTGTGAGTGGTGAGCCCGTCTCCCTGACACCCCGCCCCCCACCTCTCCCTGTCTTCTCCCTCCTTTGTAAGTGGGTCCCCAAGACGCACCGCCCATGGTCCTGCACACCCGGTCCCTGGCAGTGAGTGGAAAGGATAGAGAGAGAATCCCAGCTAACAAAACCAGCTAGTATTGTTTGACAGTTGATTTTCCGTGTGCCAAAACACCCATGCTTGCTGGCCAGGCTGGGTGGAGACCAGGGTGTTAGCAGGGACCGAGCCCCTGAGGTGAGCTGCCTGCTCTCACAGACTGAGTCTCCTCTTCTATTCCCTAAAGACCCCTGTCCCTTCATCTTACTGACCCCCTCATCCCTTCCTCCCCATGACAGGGGTCACAAACACGTGCCCCTCTGGGCACGGTCCCAAGCTTAGTGGTTTGACACAGTTGTTTTAAATTTGAATTAAACTCGGGCAGGATGGCTCAGAGGTTAAGAACACCTACTGCACCTGTTGAAGATGTGTGTGGTTCCCAGGACCTGCATTAGGAGCCTCTACCTGGGACTCCAGCCCCAGGGATAGGAAACTCTTCTGGCCTCCATCAGCGTGTCCATTCACACGCGCACAGACACGTACATACACGCTTAGTTAAAACTGAGATCTTAAAAATAAAAAATATGACACTTTGTGTGTGTGTGTGTGTGCGTGTGTGGTGTGTGTGTGTGTGTGTGTGTGTGTGTGTGTGTGTGTGGTGTGTGTGTGTGTGTGTGTGTGTGTGTGTGTGTGTGTGTGTGGTGTGGGGGGGTCGTCTCACAATGTAGCCCAAATGAACCTCAAACCCCTGATCCTCCTGCCTCAGCCTCCCAAGTGCTGGGATCACAATTGTATTTCACTACGCCCAGCTAATTCTCAATAAGCAAGAATTCATCAACAAACACAGATTTCCAGTGTCTCATGAAAAGTATAAGACTCCAACCACCATGGCTACATTCTCTCTACTTAGCCACAGAGACCAAACTCCCTTCAGACCTGCCAAGTCCCCCAGCTCATTTGAGATCCTGCTTACCCTGAGGCTACTTGTCCAAACTCGGTAGAGATCAAGCCCCTTGTGTTAGACTTTTAAATCCAGGAAGAATGCTCTTCCCTCCCTTCAGGTAAGACAGGCAGAGGGACTCCGGGGGTTGCCTCTGTCTGGGGACCCAATCTAAGGAGTGTGGACCAGCAGGGACCGCCCCTCTCGGGAAGCTACTCAGGGAGTTAGAAAGGAAGGCTGGATCAGGGGATCCCAAAGACCCTCCTCGGCTTCCAGCCCCCACCTCACCATTCCTTCCAGATGTGTAAGCATCCTGCCTTCCCAGAATCCTTCGTTTCTGGGCCCCTCCCTCCTTTTGCACCAAGCTACATCCCCCATGCTCCCCACTTCCTTTACCCCTCCCTCAGAACCCCAACTTCTCGTCCAGCGCCCGGAGCACATCCAGCCATAAGAGCTGCTTCTCCAGCAATGGACGGGAAGCGCCAAGGGACATCTGGGTAATGCAGGTGGTGCCCTCACCTCGGAGCCCCCCAGGGCAGCTCCGTGGACCGCATGCAATGCCAGAAGAGAGAGGAGAGCCACCGCGGGAAGAATGGGGATCTTCATGGTGTCGGGTTTGGGGCACTCTGAGGCGGGGCCTCCCTGGCAGCCCTTTATATTAGCGAGGAGGTAGTTATAAGGACGAGCGGGGTTCCCACCCTACTGACTCACCCCCAGATCATGTCGCCCACCCCTGGGGCTCCGGGAGGGGGAGGCATAGACTGTTCCCAGTATATCTTGGATTTCTCAACTCTCGTTCCTCCCCAGGCTCTTGCAAGGTGAGGCTGCCTCGGGTCTGTTCATGCATGAGGTGACGGCACAGAGACAGGTTGGGCCTGTCCCTGCAAGACTTGGCATCCGAGCAAGCTCCTCGGCCTGCGTTGGTCTCTTTTCCTCTATCCCTGGCTCCTTCTTTTGTGTTCCTCCACCCCGCCAAACCCCTCCAAAGCCCCGTGTAAGACCTTCCACGCTGCAGATATCCGCCCGCCCTCCTGGCTTGCCTCTTTTGCTGGTTAAATCAGACTCCTTACCAAGCACGCCCCTCCCTCCCTCCCTCCACCAGGCGTCTGCCGAACCTCTCACCTCTCCATTCCCCTTTCTCCGTTCCCTTCCTTCCCTTGCCTCTCTTATGTAGCCCAGGCTGGCTCACTGTATAGACAAGGATAGCCTTGAGCTCCTGATCCTCCTCCTCAGCCTCCCCAGTGCTGAGATGACTCACATATTTCACCCATGACAGCCTAAACTGTCCCTTAGTCCTACACGGGGCTTTTGCTCATCTTCTGGCTCTCAGAGCTCAGCATCTACCCTGGTTTCTCCCATCAGCCCCACCTGCCCCTTCTCGATATTGTTTGTATCTCCCTCTCTCTCTGAATAATACCCATGCCCAGACTTAATTTCTCTGGAAATATCAAGTCTCACATATGTGGGGGGGGTAGGGGGGACACACTTTGGACATGTATATATATCTCCAGGGCTCTAACCAGGCTGGCCTCAAACTCGCTGTGGAGCTGAGGATGACCTTGAACTTCTGGGCCTTCTGCCTCCCCACCCCCCCAGTGCTGGGGTTACAACCTTGCACCACCACGTCTGGTTTATGGGATGCTGGGACTCAAACCCAGGGCCTTGCACATGTTAAGGAAAGCACGCTACCAACTGAGCTATTTCCCCGGCCCAGGAGCCGTGCAAGAGTCCCCTTTCTGTGCCTCACGCACAGCGCGATGGAGATTGGGAGCATCGGAAGCGCATCCCCTCATCCCGCGCGCGGCCCAGCCCCTCACTTTCTTTCCTCTCCTGGCCCTGGACCATGCGCATGATCCATCTGCTCCCGCATTTCACCCAGATGACCTAGGAAGACCAGGAAACCAGAAACACGAAGGCGCAGAAACCAAGTGTCCCAGAGACCCAACTAAAGGAGCACCCGAGCTGGCCCGACCTCTGAGCTCTTGCTCCCTGAAAGTCCCACTCCTACCCCACCCTTAGCGGGAGTGGGATCGCCTCAAGATGGCAAAACAGCCCGGTGATGCAACCTCTGAGATGAGGTCCAACCGGTGTCACGGGGAAGTGCTGGGACACAGACTAGAGCTGTCCTGGCAAGGCAGCCCCTTATCTGATGGTTGGGTTCCTTACCCCAACCTGAGGCAACACGCAGAGTTGGCAGGTCTAGGGTGGGAGGGCTAGGTGTCATTCCTGAGGAGTCTCTATGAACCCCAGAGGCTGCCCCTGGCCCTCCTCGCCTCCAGCGACCTCTGTAGCTTCACAAAGCCTCTCCTGTAGGCACAGAGTGTTTTCCACTTTGCCGAAGCCATGGGAGGACACAGCCTGGGGTACACCCTCTTACGAGGAGCAGAGCGAGCTTCGGCCTCAGCTGACAGTCCTGGAGGGGACGAGAAGGGAATAAAGCCAGGCGGGCGGAGTTCCTCCCAAAGGGTGTTCTGGAGGACGCAGTTTTTGTGAGAGGGTGGATTCGTCCTGTTTTCACTAATTAGCAGTGCCTGCGGAGCTCATGCAGGCCTGGGCACCAGGGCAGCATGAACGGAAGCCCTGGAAGAAGGGAATATTCAAAAGAGAACAGGCGTTATGCAAATCAGCTCCATTTAGAGGTGCCAATGGTGGAATCCATTTCCAAGCCACACACACACACACACACACACACACACACACACACACACACACACACACGGGACCCAAACACACCCGAGCCAACACCGACACCACACTGTCACCTCCGTGCCTGGCTCTGGGCTCTGCTCTGGGGTGAGGCTTTCGTTAGCATGTTGACATCTCAATGATGTTTTCCTTTCCACCTAATGGTACAGATAACGTTGCCTGTTCTGAATCTGTGGCAGGCCTTGTGCTAAATATTCCGAGTGCATGATCTCATCGGATGATCAGAAGTTCTGGGAGATAGGCACTATAATTACCCACACTCTGAGGGTGGGGGAGCCACAGCAAATACTGAGGTCTCATGGCCGGTGTGGGTGTGTGGCGGGGCCAGTATGAGGGACCTGGGATTCCAAGACCTGAGCTGGGTCTCTGGTAGTCCTTTGCTCCCTGTGTCTCTCAAAGGGCTTTATTTAGCATTTGGTATGAATTAGACCCCCGACCAGATTGTAAGGCAGACTCTGTAGCCCCCCTTTGGCCCAATGAATCATGTGACCAAAGCTCCGGGCTGGCATGTACTATTCCAAATGAATTCAGCCAGATGCCCTCAGTCAACAAAAAGAATGACCTAGCCAGCCAGGCACAGTGAAGGGCTGTCATGCCAGGTGCTCCAGCAGCTGAGGCAGGAGGATGCAAAGCTCAAGTCATACCTGGAGTGAGTTCAAGGCCAGCCTGAGCACTTTACTGACATGCTGTCTCAAAATACCTGGTGAGTTCAAGGCCAGCCTGAACACTTTACAGACATGCTGTCTCAAAATACCTGGTGAGTTCAAGGCCAGCCTGAGCACTTTACTGACATGCTGTCTCAAAATACCTGGTGAGTTCAAGGCCAGCCTGAACACTTTACAGACATGCTGTCTCAAAATACCTGGTGAGTTCAAGGCCAGCCTGAGCACTTTACTGACATGCTGTCTCAAAATACCTGGTGAGTTCAAGGCCAGCCTGAGCACTTTACTGACACTCTGTCTCAAAAATAAAAAGTAAGGGGGTTAGGGATATACCTCAGTGGTACAGCATGTGCCTGGAGTCCACCAGTGAGGGGGTTTTGAGTGTGGCTCAGTGGTAGAACATGTTCAAGGCCCTGAGTTCAAGCCACAATACTGGGCTACAGCGCAAGGTATGTGTGCACGTGTGTGTGTGTGGGGGGTTACTACCTACATTTGGCAACTCTGTGTCCTGCAATGAACCTGCAATTAGTTGCCTCCATGTCCAGATGTCCCACATAGAAAAAACATCTTCCCACATCAAGTATGTCTTTGAAGGTAAGGTTCTAGCTGGGTGTGGTGGCCATAGGGGCCTGGAGAGCTGGAGACCAGCCTGGGCTACATAGCAAGATCCTATCTCAGAAAACAAACAAATGGAAAGTTTAACCAAACCAAGACAGTCCCCTGCCTTGGACCCTGTGTTTGTAGCCGTAGTGTGTAAACGACACGGCACCTCTAACACAAGCCGATCGACTCAGGTGTTCAACAGAAGGAATTCTGTCCTCTTGCAGAGGCCAAAGCTGGCTGCATTGGTCTGAGGGCTTGTTCCGGCTGGTTGCCTTCCAGATGACCCGCTCATTGTGTTTGTTTTATGGTCCTGGGGGGTTGAACCTAGGGCTTTGAACATGCTCAGCTAAACTACTACTGAGCTATACACATCCTCAGCTCTCTTTAACTATTTTTGTTTTGTTTAGTGTTTACACTTTGTGTGTGTGTGTGTGTGTGTGTGTGTGTGTGTGTATGTATGAAGACAACTCCAGGAGTCAGTTCTGGCTTTCTTCCAGACGAGCCATCTTGTCAGCCTCTTTTTATTTTTTGTAGCAGGGTCTCGTTCAGGGCCCTAGACCAGGGGCTGGAGAGATAGTGTGGTCAGTGAACTGCCTGTCATGCATGCATGAGGTCTGAGTGGGATCGCTAGAACTCACGGGAAAAGCTGCTTAGCCGTGTGGATTCCTGCACTCACTCGCCAGCCAGCGCGGGCACTAGTAAGCCAGTGGGAGACCCTGTCTCTAAAACAAGGTGGCTGGCTCCTGAGAAATGACACCCAATGTTGTCACCTGGATGGCACTCAGACATGAGCACATGTGTTATACCCACATGAACATGGACACCCCCCCTTTCTCTCTCACACACTCACACTCACACACACTCACACACATACACTCACACACACACACTTACACACACACACACACACACACACACACTTCCCAGGCTAGCCTTGAACTTTCCATCCTTCTCCCTCAGGCTCCCAAGCCACTGGAAAGATAGGTTTCTCTCCTGATGAATTTTCAGGAGGGAAATGATTTCTATGTTGAACTGACTCCCTCTCCATGCTCCCCCCCTTCCTCCATCCACGCCGCCTTGGCGACTTCGTGCTCCCCAAGGGCCCAGTGTTCAACAGAGTGGGGAGAGGGGCAGGTAGCTCTCAGTAAGGGAGGTCGCCACAGTTCCGTCATGGAGCAGGAAGGGGACAGAGAAAGTCTCCCAGGGTCCCACTCTGCTTTGAATGGATACGGAGAGTGTTGGGGTCTCAGACTCTGGAACCCCATCTCTAGGTCCAGTTACTCCCTTCTGAGAACATCAGTAAACCCTTGCCCTCTCACCGCCTGCCCCCACCCTCCCAAATGTGACAGAACTTGAGTGTGGGCAGGAGGTGAGACCCAGCCCTGATTGCTACATCATGACAGGCACTGGAGCGGGGCCAGCGCCTGGGTGTCAGAGTCGAGTGATTAAAGGGACGGACACCAGACACTCGGGGACTTTGGGGACACCGGGGACATCCCTGGAGAGAGAGAGAAGGGGGCCTGGAGTCTCAGGAGAGGGTGTGGGGGCATCAGAGTGGGGAAGAGTGATCTCCAGCCAACGCCATTATTGCCACACTCCAGGAGATGGCAGTGTCACAGCAGGTCCTCCCACTTGGAAGCTGTTTGCCTAAACTTCTCCCAGGAAGACTTCCTGGGTCGGTCCCACTCAACTCCAGCCCCTCCTCCCACTGGGTAATCCGCAAAGATCTCTCGGGCAGACACTTCCGTTCCCGCTCATGCGAAGTCAAGAAAGACAAGATGGCCAGCCCTTCCATTCCTGCTCCTCTGGAGGAGGCGCAGAGCCACCCAACAAAACAAACAAATACAGGATGACAGAACAGGTGCTGGGAAGACAGCAGAGAAGATGACCTAGGGAGGGGCCTGTGAACCGAGAAAAGAAACAAAGAAAGACGTTCGCTATCTACCGAGGGGGAAGAGACCCTGAGCTGGGCCCGGTGCCCGAGGCAGGGCCAGCATGGGCAACTCAGATGAGAGCCTGCCTGGAAATAAAACCTGGTAGTGTCTAAAGGTTGGCTCGGTGGGTAAAGGCGCTTGCCCTGAAACATAACATCTGACCCACATAGGAGAAGAGAGAGGCCTGACTCTGGCAAGTTATCTCCCTGACCTACACGCACTCTCGCGCACACACACACTCACACAGACACACACACACTCACACAGACACACACACACTCACACAGACACACTCACACAGAGACACACACTCACACACAGACACACACACACAGACACACTCACACAGAGACACACACTCACACAGACACACACACGCACACACAGACATACACACTGTGGCGCGTGTGTGGGTTTGCAGTACACACAATAAGCGTATAATGAAAAATATAATTAATTAGAAAAGTAAAAAGAAGGGCGAAGACAAGACACAACTCCGTGGGGGGAGAAACAGGGAAGAAGGAGAGAGAGATCAACGCCAGATTACCCTGTCACCTCCAGAGCCTCTCCCGCCAGACCCTTGACTTTGAAGACGTAGACTACCCAGTCTAGGGCCAACGAGAAGCTTGACAGTTGGGACCTCAGAGGCTCCAGCAAAAACTAAGGGCTAGCTAGGAAAGGACCGCTACCCGTCAATGGAGGGCCCCTCAAACCAGACAACCTCACGTTAAACTCGAAAGGACCGGGAGCATCACCTGAGAGGCGGGAGCCATCTTGATCCTCGCAATGGTTCCCAACCATTTCCCGTTCCCATTCGCACAGCAGGAAGACCGAGGCTTCTCCCGGGGACGGCCCCCTCGCCCGCCCCCATGTGGCTGTGATGAGGTACTGCAAGGCCCTCCATACAACTTGAGAACAACCGGGAGCCTCAATCTAAGAATCAAATCCAGGGGAAGATAGAGAGAAGAATTTCCGCTCCGGAAGGCGAGTTTGATCAGGCGGCTTTCCTGAGTCAGCTTAGGACCCGGTTTCTTTCACTGACTCACACTTATTTGAGGCCTTGTTGTCCGACTACAACAGAGGACAGTGCGGCCAAGCACTTAGGTACCTTGCAAATGGCATAGGACTCGCGAAACCGGCAGGGTTTCTTGTCTTTCTCTTACTTCCGGCTCCCCTCCATGGACACCGGGGGAGGGAGGACGGTGATGGGAGACCCCCTCCATTTGGTCACCCCGTATCAATTCCATGAAACACAGAACTGTCTGGCCCTGTTCCAGGGGGGGCTCCACAGCCTGTGTCCAGGGCCCCTGCCTCCCCGGTTACGCAGCAAGGTAATGGCTTTGGCTTCCCCTTCTTTCCCTAGCTTCCTAAACGCTGCCACCATCTGCAAGTCCCCGTCCGGGCGTGTTACGACACGCCCCAACCTATTCTCCACCAGTCCTTGCTGGCTTGGCTTGTCCCACCCTGCACGTCCCCACCCCGTCCCCACCCCGGGAACTGGTCTGTCATCGTTTTGAACCAGATTCTGACCTCCTGGTCTGAGCCCTTTCGGGTCATCAAACACCCACAGCTACTGTAAACGTGCTGTTTGTTGGGCAAAAACTGTCTTTGCCGACGGAGAAGCTTGCACTAGCTGAAACCCGGGTTGCCCAAACCTAAGCCCAGGTCTCTCCTCTCTCCGGCCACCAGGCTCAGGGGGAGAAAGAAGGGTTCTCAGCCGTCAACACCCCCCCCACTCCTCCACACCCGGGTCAGGAGAGCGGCATTAAAGAACACGTGGAGAAAGTCTCGGGAAAACAAAAGAAGCCGTGTTTTATTTCCACAGAGACGAAGCAGGAGGTTCCCACTGCGTTGTTAGGGGAACGTCCCGCCACAAACGGGAGAAGGTGAAGAAACTGGCTGGTTATCCAAAGAGGCTGACTCTTGAGATGCTACGACAGTAAGCCAGGTCCTTAGGTGGGGTGGTGGGGGATGTCAGCGCCCAGATAGGTCTGTCACAGCAGAGAGGACTGTGGGTAAGTACAAACAAGCCCCCTGGAGACCTGTGTTCGTGAAGTGTCGGCAGTGACTAGAAGGAATTTTCTAGAAGAGAAAAAAAACACAAAAGGAGGAGAAAAACAAATGCTAGAGCACAGCCACTCCCACGTCAATGGAGAACAAACCCTTTCGTGAACATTCCTTCCCGTTCACCTTCAGTCCCCTCACTTAGACTTCTTTTTGTTTGTCTGTTTTTTTCTGGACAGGGTCTCCCTGTGCAGCTCTGGCTGTCCTGGAACTCGCTCTGTAGACCAGGCTGGCCTCGAACTCACAGAGATCCGCCTGCCTCTGCCTCCCAAGGGCTGGGATTAAAGGCGTGCGCCACCAACACCCGGCTGCCCTGACCATTTTCTAAAGAATCTTTCTCCAGGCCCCACAAGCAGGGTGTTCTCCTTCATCCCTCTTCAGTAAGCACCCGGGGGGGGGGGGAACCCAATTGCTGCTGCCCCTCATCGAGGCCCAAGGAAATGCCCAGCTCCCAGCCCGCCCGCGGGGTGGCGACTTCTACTGCTGGCCCCCGGCCATGTGTGGCCCACTCTGACACTTACCTACCAAAACTTCAGCCACTTCAGCAGACCAGGTTGTGCCCGGGAAGCCTGCAGGGCAAGGGGACCGGCTGAGCGGATATCACACTGTTACCCCTGTTACCATCCAGGCACACCTGGCCCCGCCCCTCGGGGGACCTGGCAGAGAGTGTCACCCCTGTATGCCTGGCAAGCAGTACCCTGACTCTGTACTCAGGTGCAAAAGGCCCCTTTAAGAAACAAGTTCCACCCACTCCCAATCTCTCTGTCCAACTGTTCCATCTTTACCTCTCTCTCTCTCCCTCTCCCTCTCTCTCTCTCTCTCTCTCTCTCTCTCTCTCTCTCTCTCTCTCTGTGTGTGTGTGTGTGTGTGTGTCTTTCTCTCCCTTCCCTTCCCCCAATAAAACTTCCCACCTAACTTCTATCTGCGTGGAGTGTTTTTCCCTCACCCGCCGTGGGGCTTCCCACCAAAGTCCCTCTCTGCGCCATAACAACCTCCAGGTCCCTCTGTGTTCAGCTGCACCTTCTCACTCCCCCGTACTCACCGAGGACGCTGAAGGGGCCACTCCTCCCTGGAAGGAGAAGATCAAAGGAGGTGACACAGGGCCATGGCAGCCCTCTCTGGGCTCTACCTCGGCCTCAGGCTCCCCGAGGTCCCCTCACAGGCACAAGCCAACGTTATAGCAGGGTCCTTCAGGCTGGCTGTGGATACTCAGTCTGTGGACGTTCCCCCAGGACGGTACTGAATGGCCCCCAAATATACAACACAGTGGAGGAGAGCTCTCCTCTCCATGGGACGGATAGAAGACAGCCACAGACAGAGGCCAGATGATGCCTGTGGTGACATTTACTTCAAAGTAAAAAAAGCCTCACACCCGCTAGGCAAGTGTCCTACCGCTGAGCTACATCCGTAGTCCTCTTTTGACCTTCATATTTCGTGACAGAATCTCTGTAAGTTGCCCAGGCTGGATGTGAACTCTGTAGCCCAGGCAGTCCCTGAATTTGTGATCCTCCTGCCTCAGCCACCATCCCCATCCCAACCCGGGTAGCTGGAATGATAGACCACAGGCTGCGCGTTCTCTGCTCTTACAGAGGGTTCACTGTTCTGAGAAGTGGGGAATCCCTGGCCTGGCTTTTCCTTGCCAGCCTACTTAGCGCACTCTCTGGTGTTACAGTATCACTTTGCTTATTTCTCGGCCGGTTGGATGGTTGGCTGATCGGCATCGGTTGCAATACTAGGAACGGAGCCCAGGGATTTTCCTCTGGTAGCTAGATGGTCACTCTACAGAGGAGCCACGCCCCTGACTCCTAAGACTGCCTTCTGTTACTTTTTGTTTGTTTGGTTGATATTTGTTTACTTTATATATGTATGTTTATGGGTCACAGTGCACATGTGGAGGCCAGGAGACCACGTGGGTGGGTCAGTTCTCTCCTTCTTCCTTGTTAGTCCGAGGGATCAAACTCAGGTTGGGAGACTTAGCAGCAAGCCCCTTTACCGGCTGAGCCAGCTCATGAGCCCCTGAGACTGCCTTGTCTGCAACTACAAAAAACAACCCCTCAATTTTCCCCACCATTTAAAAAAATATTCCAATGAGGCACGAAGACTTCAGTTTCCCACCAGCCAAGCGTCCCTAGAGGCTAAGCGCTAGGCTGCTTTCCTCCACCCCAGCTGCTGCCCCACAAAGGGCAAGAAAGCCATGCTGTGAAGCAAGTCTGTGTGGAATGACGGCACACACCCGAGTCCCCTTACACAGCAGTGGGATGGAGAAAGGAGGCAAGCTCTTCCTGCTCCCAGCTCGCGCATGCACACACACGGGCGCGCGCACACACGTGCACACACGCACGCACGCACACATGCACACACGTGCACACACGCACGCACGCACGCATGCACACACGCACACACAGATAACAAAACTTTTTCAAAGCTCACCTTGGCAGTGGTCTTAGCATAGTATTGCCAGTTGTAATTAGGGTTCCCCTGCTGGTTACTATAGTAGCTCTGGAGGAAACAGAAGGGCGTAGGGGTGCAGAAGAGAGGGAAGATGGCATTACGTTGTGTAAAAAAAAAAAAAAAAAGACACTTCGCTTCTTTGCCCAGGAAGCAGATTTCTTAGAAGCCCATGCTTTGTCCCCTCCTTGTAACGTGGGCTCTCTTTCGTGTTACCCCCCAAGGTCAACTGGGGCCCCACCCCCATCAGGTCCTTCCTCCCCCTCCCTGGTCCCTATCCTCAAGTGTGGCTTGGGAGGCCAGGGTAGGAGACCAGGAGGAGAAAGGGTAACATTTACGTCGGGGGAGCGGGGGAGGGGGGGAGGGAGGAGATAGCTTGCCTTGGATGTGACCGCTGATGCCTCTTGTCTTGCTGCTTCAGGCTGAGAAAACTATCGGGTGGGAGGTAAAAGAGAGAATTTCAGACTAGCCAGTCTTGAGACTGGGCTGAGAGAGACCCAGGACTTTCCAGGGGAGCCCGGAAGACAGAGGCACTCACCTGATCGGCACCTCCCGCCCTCTTCTGCAGAGACGACGGATCTGAGCCCTGAAAAGGCAGCTATGGTCAGTGGCCCGGGCTGGCCGCTGTCCTCCAGGCCTTGCCAGCTTCCAAAGCCCAGACACCGCACTGCATCCGCTCTTCTCCACGCTCCACTTCCTCTTGGGGCTCTGCCTACCCGTCCCCACCCCCGTAAAGGCCCCAGCTAAGCCCAGTAGGACTGGAGGAAGCCCATGGCCCAGAGAGATACAGGACACAGATTCCCACACTCAGGGCAGAACAATGATGGAGAGCCGAGTTGGGCAATAGCACCACTCCCACAACTCTGAGTGGAGTTGCTGCTGGAATAACAAAGGAGAACCCACACGTGTCCCGCAGCCCCAGCCAACCCTGGGCCTACACCGGACCCTGCTGCTTCCCGTAGGCCTCCTAATCCTGCTATCCTGACGCTATTCTCTGTGTGGTGCTTGAAGCTCAGCGGTTAGGTTAGTTCCCAGGAGAAGGGAAGAGAGGCAAGGAAGCTCCCTATGTGCACACCCCACAGCTCCTCCACATTTGATACAGGCAGGAAGGGTGAAACCCACCCTAGGCAGGGGCTCTACCACTGAGCCACACCCCAGCCCCTCACTGGGGGATTCTAGGCAGGGGCTCTACCACTGAGCCACGCCCCAAACCCTCACTGGGGTATTCTAGGCAGGGGCTCTATCACTGAGCCACACCCCAGTCCCTCACTGGGGAATTCTAGGCAAGGGCTCTACCACTGAGCCACACCCCAGTCCCTCACTGGGGGATTCTAGGCAGGGGCTCTACCATTGAGCCACATCCCCAGCCCCTTACTGGGGGATTCTAGGCAGGGGCTCTACCATTGAGCCACATCCCCAGCCCATCATTGGGAGGTCGTAGGCAGGGGCTCTACCACTGAGCCACGCTTTGAGTCCCCTGACGCTAAGTCTTAGTTCTGACACTGAGGTCACAAACTGGCCACTCACGGGCCCCTAGACACTTTTTTGTTTGGTCTTCTCTAAAACAAATAAAAAAATAAAAAATGAGTTGCAAACGATTTAAAATCAGATTTCTAGTTTTTCTTGAAAAAAAAAATGACACTGTGGTAACCCTGGCCCTACATGTGTGCAAGAGGAACTCGGACAGCCTTGCCTCGGCTCTGGTTCCCGAAGGCCACCAGTCGCATAGCATTGAGGTGAGGCCCTGCTCACCCTCCCAAGCCCCAGCTCTTCAGGCCTCCGGTACTTGCCCAAAAGCCTGATTCCCCTGGACCTTCTTCCCCTGTATCCCTGAGTCCTTTCTCCCTCCCCATCCCTCTGTCCCTCAGTACCCACCCAGCTGTGGCAGTCTCCATGCCAGGCCACGCCCAGCAGAATAAGCAGCAGAGCCACAACGGCTGGCTTCATGGTTCTGCTCTGGTGCAATGAGTCGCAAGCCTCCTGCCCTGGGATTTTTATCCTAGGGAGACCCCTCCCACCTCACACCTGCTTCGGTGACTCATAGCTTCCCTGACACTCCTACTCCACCCAGCTCAAGAGTTGCGCCAACCGAAGAAAGTGGGGAGGGAAGGTGTCCTCCCTCCCTCATCTCGGACGACGGACGGGAGGACACCGAGACAGGGACGGCCAGGAAGCCATCTTACCTGCCGGACCTGAGTCTCCAAAGCTCAGCGGCCTCGCCCCAAAACGAGAAGGTCTGCCCAACCCCCTTACCTCGATCTGTTTCCAGTTGAAGAAAGGAGTATTGCGTTTGAAATTCTGGAAGGAGAAGTCGAGATGAGAGCATGCCCGTGGTGCCAGAACACACCGGGCAGGGAGCCAGGCGGCCGGTGGGAAGGCCAGGTGTGGCTTAGGATGGGTGAAGACAGGCATACGGGGAAATCGAGGGCGCTTGAGTTTGAGATAGTGTCGGGGATAAGAGATAATGAGACGGCCTATCTCAGATATGAGAAGAGTTATCAAGTGTGATGGTGCACACCCTGAGCCCCTGCACTCAGAAAGACAAGACAAGACAAGACTTCCAAGCTAGGCCTGGGTTACAAGTTCCAAGCTAGCCTGTGAACTCGCTAGGTAGCCCAAGCTAGCCGGGGCTTACCTAGCAAGTTCAAGGGCAGCTAGGGGTTGGGGGCTCTTCGCTTAGTAACCGAAGAGCAGAGCTCCCCGTTCAAGCACTGCAGAAATGAAATAAACACCCCCAAAAGAGGGACGATGTTTGCGGTAGGGGGGCAATAGCTGGTTTGAGGGAGAAGAGAATGGGCACGATGGCCAGGATCCCCAGGTCTTTGGGAAGTGGGACTTCTCGTACCTCCCAGAGTCTGCGGAAGTAGAGCAAGGCCCGAGTGCTGGGGGGCGGGAGGCGGCCCTGTGAACAAAAGACGGGGAACAGGTTAGCAGAGAAGCCCGCCGCTGCTCGCCTGGCAAAGCCCTGACTCCCCCTCCTGGCCCCTTTCAGCCTCCAGAGATGCCCTGTGACTAATATGTGCAAGGGACGCTGGGGACACCAGAACCTGGAAACAGAGACACGGGCTGGATGTCCACGATGCATGCCTGCCCACGCCCAGCTCTGTCCCTCTCCTTGGCACAACAGGACTGTCACAAAGCCCTTCAGGACGCGGGGCTACCACAGTCGCCAGCGCGCCTCCCTACCCCCTCCCAGGACGACAGTGGAGACAAGAAAGGAACGGAGACGGGCAGTGTGGGACAGCTATGGTTTATTTCCGGGGGCAGGGGAGAGAGTCAGGGTGAGGGAATGGTGGGATTCCCATCCAGCTGGTGGCTCCTCATTTGGCGGTCATGGTTTGTAAGAGCTCCCTTTGTCCTGAGCAGAGAAATGGGTTCTAAGAGGAAGCTAGAGGAGGGGGTGTCTCTGGGAAGCAGAGGGCTAATTCCACATGGGTCTTTTAAGACACTGTCCCCACTCCACACAAGCTAGGGCCCCTCCCCTCACTCATCCCCCTCCCCCTGGGGAAGACAGGAGCTGGGTGTCCTGTCCAGCCCTGCTCTGCCTACCACTTTCCCCCAGACTGACCCGCTGGGAGGCCAGACCCTGTGAATCCCACCTAGCTAGCATTCCTCAGACGGGCAAAAATGCTTGTTGCAGTGCCAGCCTGTGCCCTGGCCTCCTAGGGGATCCTCAGTCCCCCGGGGACCACAGCAAGGAAGCTCGCCCTACCAGAAGCTTTTTTTTTTTAATAGACCTCTCATTCCAGGCATGGTGGTTGCATGCCTGGAATCCCAGCAACCAGGAGGCTGGGTCAGGAAACGCTCAGGTTTGAGTAAACCCGGGCAACCTAGTGAGTTCAAGGCTAGCCTGAGCTACATTGGGAGGCCCTGTCTCAGAGTTAAATAACAAAGTACAGAAATAAGACAGAATTTATTTTGTTCATTTGAATCGGAAATGCATCACAACTGGGAAACACCCATCCCTCACGCCTTTGCTCATCCTGCAGAAGCTAAACAGGTTTTCCTGAGGTTTGCAAAACTCCGTTCCCACTTCCCTACACTCCCATGAAGACCCCAAGTCTTGGGAAGGATGTTTTAGGACAAGGATAAAATGTTAGCAGCTCAAAGGGCCAATCGGGTGACTGGAATGCTTGACAGACAAGGTCAGAGTAGCTACTGGAGAGCAAGGACTCACAGCACTGAGTAGGCCCACTCTGTCCCACGGAAAGGGGGTCCCAGAGAGGCCAGCTCTTTCAAGATAAGCCCGAGACACCTACGTCATTAGGTGATGTCATCCAATTTTTAAACTTTAGTAAGTCATATTCTTTTTTCTTTTCTTTCTTTCTTTTTTTTTTAATGTGTCTTGGTGACTCATTAGAAGGTCACCCCGATCTCTTGGGTGTGTACTGTCATTTCTTAACAGCTTCCAGTTTTCCTGAGCCTGGTGTCTCAGGCCCATCATTCCAGCTACTCAGGAGGCCCAGACAGGAGGATTATGAGTTCAAGGACTGCCTTGACAAAACTTAGTGAAACTCTGCCTCATAATAAACCGTGGAAAAAGAATGCTAGAGAGGTGTCTTAGTGATAGAGCCCCTGCCTAGAATCCCCCAGTGAGGGGCTGGAGGTGTGGCTCAGTGATAGAGCCCCTGCCTAGAATCCCCCAGTGAGGGGCTGGGGCGTGGTTCAGTGGTTGAACTGCTTACCTAGCACTGGTGAGATTCTGGACTGGATCGCCAGCTCTATACAAAAGGGATTAGGCAGACTAAGTAAGCATAAGTCTCACGAATTTGCTGAATGAGGGGCTGCATGGACCTACAAGGCCATATGTGGGCTGAAAACCCCAGAGAGACAGAAAAAGAGACAGGGGGAGCTGAGTACCAGATGTGTGGCAGGCTTAGGAGTGGCCCTGTTCATGTGTGATCCTCACAGCTGGGGCAATGAAACCCTTTCTTCTCCTCCTCGCCCTCTCCATCCCTATCACGTGAGGTGGATGTCCCTGGCCAGGACGGGTTGACATCAGGATAGCCGGAAGGGTGAAGAGCAAATTAAAAAGTTCCCAGGCAGAAACAGTGACTGTGGGTGACAGGTGTGCCTGTTTAGACCACTTTCAAAAAGGCAAACTTGGAGTTTTTTTTAAATGTTTACTTTTTTTAATTTTTAAGTTTTGTTGTGTGTCTGTCTCTGTGTTGGGGAGCAGTACCCGTGGAGGCCAGAAGAGGGCACTGGACCCCAGGATCTTGAGTTGTATAGGCAGCTGTAAGCTGCCTGCTGTGGTTGTTGGGACCTGACCTCTGCTGTTGCAAGAACAAGTACTGAAACACCGAGCCATCTCCTCTCCAGTCCTGATTTTAGTTTAAGGAATTTTTTTTCAGGGCTTGAGATTGAACTATGGCCAAAAGACAGCCAGATAAAGTGCTCTACCACTGAGCCACACCCCCAGCCCCTCACTGGGGGATTCTAGGCAGGGGCTCTACCACTGAGCCACACCCCAGCCCCTCACTGGGGGATTCTAGGCAGGGGCTCTACCACTGAGCCACACCCCAGCCCCTTACTGGGGGATTCTAGGCAGGGGCTCTACCACTGAGCCACGCCCCCAGCCCCTCACTGGGGGATTCTAGGCAGGGGCTCTACCACTGAGCCACGCCCCCAGTCCCTCACTGGGGAATTCTAAGCAGGAGCTCTACCACTAAGCCATACCCCAACCCCTCACTGGGGATTTCTAGGCAGGGGCTCCACACCAAATTTCAACCCAGACCTTCATTGATGGATTTTAATTTTGAGATATAATCTCCTTAAATTGCCCAAGCAAGCTGTGAACTCAATCTGTAGTCCAGGGTAGCCTTGAATTTGCTAACCCTACCTTGCTTTCTTCCCAAATTGCCAAGATGACAAGCCTGCACCTCACAGGTCTAACGGGGAGTCTGAGACTGGCTCTTTACCTTGAGATATTAAAGACACCCATCCCCTCTGCTCATCGCCAGCGCCCAACAGTTTCCCAATTCACCCTGTCCTTCCAGGTTTTGGACCCATTTGACTTGAGTATTTGCCTAAACACCTTCTCAGTAGCCATCATCACTAGGCCTCGGCTTCACCATGAAGGTGTCTAGCTTGCCTCTCTGGGGTCCTCTGCTTCAAATCGTCAGTGGCATGGCCTTCTGGCCCTTACCTTGTTTATGGCGTCCCAGTTAATGAAACCCATCTTGGATTTAAAATTCTGCAGAGGAAACAAAAAGAAATGTCCTAATCAGATGAAGAAACAGTGCTTGGTTTTTTTGTTTTTGTTTGTTTGTTTATTTTTTTGTTTCGTTTTGTTTGAGTTTCCAGCTAGAAAATGTCAAGGTCTAAGCTAGAGAGATGGTTCAGCGGTTAAAAGCACTGGCTGCCCTTCCAGAGGATCTGAGAGAGTTCTAGTCCCAGCACCCACGCCGTGGTTCACAACCATCTGTTAACTCCAGTTCCAGGGGATCTGACGCCCTCTTCTGGTCTCTGCTGGTACCATGTGGTGCATAGACATATATGCATAAAATAAAAACAGAGTTAAAGTTTTTTTAATAAAAAAAATCAAGGCCATGGCTTTCTCTTGGGATGTGGCGGTCTGAGGAAGTGGGGTTGCTTCTCCTGAGGGGGACCCAAGCAAGCTTTCAAAACTTACCTCCCAGAAACTGTCGAAGTTGAAGGGCAAGGAAGACGGGTCAGAGTTCTGAGGAAAGGAGGAGAAATGGCAGGAGGTTAGGAGTCCACTTTGTGAGCAAGAGGCAGAGGCAAGAGGTGTGGGCTTCAGGAAGGAAGGAGACACAGGTGTGCCTGACCCCCAGCCCCAGGGCGAGCAAGACCTCCACTCACCACGGCTTTGAGTCCACTGACGGCTTCGTTGCGTCCTCCGTCCCCGCTGAACCCATGCTCCTGAGTAGGGGCAAGGAAGCCACGCTCAAGGCTCATTTCACTGTCACACAAGTGCCTGCCAGAGGATCCCAGGCCCACCCATCTCCTCCACCACAGCCGTTTCCCTCCTTTCTCCCGCCCCCGAACTCCCAGCCCAAAAAGACTTCCACCGCACAACCGACCCAATCCCATAGTGATGTGCGCTCACTATGCAGCCCAGGCTGGCCTCAAACTTGCAGTGGTCCCCCTGCATCAGCCTCCCAGGCTTACGGAGCCTGACTGGCGCACTTTTGTCTCCACTTTCCTCTGCCCGGCCCCCACAAAGACCAGTGAAAATGACGAGAGACGACGTGCGTTCCCGCTGTGCGCCAAGCACCGCAGCGTAGGGCACATTTGAGATGACTTCGTTTCTCCAGAAGTGGCCAACAGGCAGTATCGGGCTTTGCCTGCCTGTCTGGACCCAGCATCGCCTTGGTTTGAGCACGATATGGAAAAGTCTATACTAGCTAAGGAAGATGAGCTGCTCAGGGTTCACCGTCCCTTCTTAGGCAAGGGAGCCAGACTCAAAAAGGAGGTCAGTTAGCTTGCCTGAAAAAGCGCAGGAAGTGAGTGACAGATCTGACTTTTAACCATCTTCATACCCAAAGCTCAGCAACTCTCCACTTCTCAACACTTAACGAAGCACATTGAAATGTACATATGTGTGTATGTGTATGGGTGTGTATATATACACACACACATATGCATGCATATCCCCTTGATCTCTATTGGGGAGGGTGGTGGGAATCACTGGGAATTGAACCTAGAATCTCACATACGTTGAGCAGATGTTGTACCACTGAGCCACACCCCCAGCCCCTCACTGAGGGATTCCAGGCAGGGGCTCTACCACTGAGTCACGCCCTCAATTCTTTTTTACTCTTTAAGGTAGGATCTCTCTAAGTTGCCCAGATTGGCCTTGAACACACGCTACAGACCAGGGAGTCTTTGACTCTGCAGTCCTCCTGCCTTTCCTCCCCAGGAATTAGCATTATAAATCTTGCCTCCGGGCCTGATCTCTGTCCTTTTTCTGTTACTTTTGTCTCATCTCCCACTTGCCATCATCCCAATCGGAAGAGCCGCCATTTTGTCTTCCGGGTAGTCACTCCTCCGTTTAAGAGCAGCTTAGTCCCTCTGTCTCTCCACTGTCCCTTCTGCTAAGCCACCCCGGCTGTCTCCTGACTTACCTGGTAGTCGTGGGGACCCCCAAGGAGCCCGCTGCTTTCTCGACTCTCCTAGGGAGACATAAAGTACAGAAGCCAGTTTGAGAGGAAAGGGCAGGGCAGAGGGGTGCGGGGCTGGAGAGGGGAGTGTGGCCTTCTCTCCTGGGTGGCCCGGTGACTGCTCATTAGACTTGCTAACACACATCATCATTTGCTAATACTCATTTCTCCGGAACCTGGGGAGAAGCGCCCATGCCACTAAGTCATCTGAATCTTCCTCTGGCCAGGCTACTGGACTAAAGCGACAGACTAGAAACTCCAGATGGGCTGGTGTCCGTACCCGGCAGAAAGGGAGTGGCGGCTGGCAAGCCCGTGGGTCCCTGTGGCAGGCGGCATGCGGCTCTGCTGCTTATCCACCTCCTAAGCTGGAGATCAGCAGCCCCATTGTCTCTTGTTCCTCATTCCCAGAGCTAGCTGGGGAGCTGGCCAGGATGTGGGATTCCTGCCCTGTTAGCATCGCTGTGTCCTTTGCAAGCAAAGTTTCTACTCTCAAAGGCTGCTGTTCCCCCTGCCCTGATGTCCCCTGGGACCTCTGGGACCTCCCTGTTCTCTGCTAAAGTACCGTAAAAGGAAGAAAAGGAGAAAAAAATAAAAGTATGTAAGTACTCGTAAATACTAGAAAATAATAGAGACATTGAAAATGATACGCCATGATGTTGCTGGCTCTGTTTGTTTGGTTTTCTCCAAAACAGGGTTTCTCTGTGTAGCCCTGGCTGTCCAGGAACTCACAGAGATTTGCCTGCCTCTGCCTCCCAAGTGCGGGGACTAAAGCTGACTCCCTATGTTCTCAAAGCTGATTTAAAGACAGACAGACAGACAGACAGACAGACAGACAGATAGATGTACATAGAAAGATAGATATAGATAGAATGATAGATAGAAGACACACACACACACAGAGAGAGAGAGAGGGAGGGAGAGAGAGAGAGAGAGAGGAACAAGAATTAACAAACCTGGGAACCCATTAAAGTTACCACCTAATATACAAGTTCTTCAGCGAGCTACCTTCGCTCAACCTCCCCCGCCTCTCCGTCTTCCCCCCATCTCATCTTGCCCCTTGCCCAGTGACCTCTGCTGCCACCACCCCTTGCCCAGTGGGCTCCGCGTCCACCGGGGCCCACCCAGTCCAGCAGCCCAGCAGCTTCAGCATCTCCAGGGAATGGAGGAGAATCACAGAGTCCCAGCCTCACCCCAGATCTGCTGGTTCAACCTGCATTTTGCACAAGACCTCTAGGTGTGGACAGGAGTGTCACACTTACTCAGCCAGTGTCACTGCGGGTGCTGGCCCCTTTGCCCAGATTCCCAGAATGACTAGGAGGAAGGTGTAGACGTGCGCTTTAGCGAAAGGCTTTTTTTTTTTTTTTTTTTTTTTTTTGGTTTTTATGAGACAGGGTTTCTGGGTATTGCTTTGGAGGCTGTCTGTCCAGCCCGGCCTCGAACTCACAGAGATCCGCCTGCCTCTGCCTCCCAAGTGCTGGGATTAAAGGCGTGCACCACCACCGCCCGGCTAGCGAAAGGCTTTCTAAAATCTAAATAAACAAAGTCAGACTGCCTTACACATAAATTCCTCACACCTCATCGGGATATAAAGCAAAGCACAATGGGTAAGAGTTTGCCATCCACGGGGAAGACCTGTTTGGACTACTGTTTAGGGAGCTCAAAGCCAGCCTGAGGAACTTACTGAGCCCTGTCTCAAGATAAAAACTAAAAAGAAGCTGGCCTTGATCATTGATGCCTGTAATCCCAGCATTTACAAGGCTAAGGCAAAAGGATTGTTGTGGGTCTGAGGCCAGTCTGAACTGACTCTGTTAGTGAGCTCCTGTCTTAAAAAAAAAAAAAGAAAAGAGAGAAAGAAAGAAAGAAGGGAGGGAGGAAGGAAGGGAAGGAAGGAAGGAAGGGAGAAAGGAAGAAAGAAAGAAAGGAAGGGAGAGAGAAAGGAGGGAGGGAAGAAGGGAGGGAGGAAGGGAGGAAGGAAAGAGAAAGGAAGGAAGAGAGAGAGAGAGAGAGAGAGAGAGAGAGAGAGAGAGAGAGAGCGAGAGAGAGAGAGAGATGAAGACTAGTTCCACGGTAGAACACTTGTCTGGAACTCAGCACTGAGGGGCTGGGGAGGGCATGGCTGCTCAGCAGTTAGAGCACCTGCCCAGAGTCCCCCAGTGAAGGGCTGTGGCTCAGTGGGAGGGGGGTTGCCCACAGGAACAAGGCCCACAGTTCAATCCCTGGCAGTGTGCATGAGCGTACACACACACACACACACACACACACACACACACACACACACACGCCATGCAGAAGGAATGCTGTCCTGTTCTGCACTGACTTTGGAGACTTGGCATCTCAGGGGTCTATGTCTGGGCTCCCTCCAAGGACTGCACGAAGGCTGACCTGAGCGGGCTCCTGAGACCTCAGCACTGTCACAGAGGAAAAGCTGGTGCTCGGCACGTGACTTTGACTCTCACCTGATTCCTGGATCCTCCGGACGTGCGCACATCATCTCCTGGGTTGTCACACTGCGGAGGAAAGATATTTTTCCCCTCAATCTCCCACTGGTCTACGACCTCCGCCTCCACCACAGCATAGTAAGCAGATCCCCTTGCAGACCGCCACGCCCCTCATGTTCAGCCCCATCCCTGACCCCTCTCCCAGCGTCTGAGTCTCTCACCTCGGGTTTATTTCCACCGACACCTCGGCTGCCCGAGGAACCTCCCTGCAAGGAAAGGATCAGCATAACGTCTTTAAAGTGTGTGCGAGGGGACCCGGAGCTCCCAGCCATCTCTCCAGCCCCCATCTTTTCCTCTCCTCTGGCCAGCTGGTTGCTACAGGCAATTGAGCTTCAGCAAAAGAAGGCCAGGTATGGCCCGGGGTTTGGAAGTACACAGTGACTTTGGGAGTCTGAGCTGTTTCGCTCTGCAACACACACACACACACACACACACACACACACATGCATGTACGCACACTCGGGCGCACACACACACACGCATACATGCTCGCATGCACTTACACACGCACACGAATATAAGAAGTTGCCCCTGGGGGTAATGCTGAAGAGATGACTCAGAGGGTAAGAGTATATGCTTTTCCTGAGGACCCGAGTTCAATTCCCAGGACTCATGTTGGACAATTCACAACCATGGTAACTCCAGCTCCGGGGACCCAGTCTGCCCACCACGGGCGCCTGCCCTCAGGAGCATGCACCTACACACACACACACACACACACACACACACACACACACACACCTCATAAATTTTATTCTAAAGAAGCAAAGAAGCTGACGCTAGGGGCCAGGCTAAGGCCTGCTCACCCAGCCCTTTCTTACATACCCTTTCTTACAAAAAAAAAAAAAAAGGGAGAGGGGATCCTAGAGTCCTTACCCTGGAGACTGAATAGCCTTCATCAAAATTGGACGTCTCCACATCCTGAATGGGGAGAGAGGGCACTCTCAGACTCTGCACACAGAGCCTCTGCGATCTCAACTGCTGCTTTATTTGTTTATTTATTCACAAATCCCAGCATGGCCTTGAACTCATTAGGAAGCCATGGACGACCTTAACTCCTGACCCTGCCACCACCCCCGGGGAGTTAGGATGACAGGAGTGTGTCACCACACTTGGCTCCTGTGGACCTGGGGGAAGGAACCCAGGTCTCTGTACACGCTAGACAAGTACCTGTCTGCCCACCGAGCAGCAGAAGCCCATACTTGCCCCTTTGACTGGCATGGTTCTTAGACCCTTAAGGACACGTGTACGGCTCCTGAGTTTGGACACCCTCTCTTGGAGCTCAGGTGCACCCTTCCGGCTCTCCCACTCACCAAGTGGGGGCCTCCCACGTGCAGAGTTACCAGTGTTGGCTACACCACAGCTGTCCTTAAGTCTCCACGGGGACGCCCACCCCCACCCCCCCGCTCTCCCCAAAGCATCCCAAACAAGTGGTGTGTGTGTAGGGGGTGTCTTGTTTGCTTTGTTTTAGCTGTAGTGTCCTGGCTGGCCTCAAACTCAACAGCAATCCTCCTGCCCCAGCCTTCCAGGTGCCGGAGGGAACGATATGATCCTCTATGCCATCCCCTCCCCCCTCAGCAAGGAGTAAAGGTTAGACCTGAGTCAGAACTCTCCCACAGGACAGGAGCAGGCAATGTAGGAGCTCAGTGCCCCCTAGTAAGGAACCCGGTAATTAGGGCGGGGAGGGTGGGGGACCAGGGCTGAAGGAGTCCCAGGATGACCACTGTCACTGAAGCCATCCACTCTAGGGCTGTGACAGCTCTAAGGGAAACCCCGGAGCAGCCTGGGTCCTCACCGCCAGGACCATCAGCCCATCCCCAGGCAGAAACTTACCCGGGACCCAGAACTGCTGCTGCCACTGCTGCCTTGGCCGCCGTTGCCATGGCCGCCGCTGCCGTGGCCGCCGTTGCCGTGGCCGCCGCTGCCTTGGCCGCCGTTGCCTTGGCCGCCGTGGCCGCTGCTGCCGTGACTATTGCCGCTGCTGCCGCCTTGACTACTGCCACTGCTGCTGTCACGGCCACCACTGCCACCACCACTGCTGCTTCCCTGCGGGACAGCGGGACAGAGCAACCGCTAAGGACAGGGGCCCTCTTCACTCTGTCCTTGTCCCCATCCTTGGCTTGGCATAGCCTCGGCCCACCTAGGAAGCAGTGCACCCCCAGCCTTCGCAGAGCGGAACCACGGGCCACGCCCCCCTCTTACCCCAGAGCTGCTTTCACGGGAGCCGGACGGCGGGGGGTTGGTACACTGTGAACGGAAGGGGGACCCACCCCGCAAGGGCAGAGATGTCAAAGCCACCTTCACAGGCCGGGCCCCTCTGCTGCCTCTGCCTTGGCTTCCCCAACCCCTTTCCAGTTCCCTGGCCTGTGACTGCCATCCGTCCCTCCTCCTCCTCCTCCTCCTCCTCCTCCTCCTCCTTCCCCCCTCGTCCCTCGCCTGTCCCGTCACATGCGTGCAGACACCCTCCCCTTCTGTCTTACCCCTGAGTTTTGGTTGCTGCCTCTCACCGACCCGTAGCCAGGCTGAGCCACAGCCCCCTGCAGGGAGGGTGAAGCCTGGTTGAGGATCCAGAGGGTGAGGAGGGGTGGGGAGGTCAGGGTTGAGGGATGCGCTTGGGTGGCGACTTTACCTGACCGTTGGCCTCATAGTTGAATGACCTGCCATCGCCACCCTGACCCACAGAGCCTCCCAGAGAGTTGGTTCCAAAGTTGCCTTCTGAGGCCCAGGGAGTCCCTTGACGGCCGGGATTGCCGTGGCCTCCAAAACCGCCTTGAGAGCCAAACATTCCATGGCCTCCGGATGCCCCCTGAAAGGACAGTACAGCCATCCTCAGAGTGCCCAGCTCTGACAACCATAAGACAGAGGGAGGAGGGGGGAGGGGAGGGGGAGGGGACACAGAGGCTATGCAGTAGAGAGATCCATGAAACAGTCCCAGATGGCCACCAAGGAGCCATCTGCTCACCCCTAGACCCACTTGTCAAGGTCCTTGCCCCACCCACCCTCAGCCCGTTATCAGCACCTCCCGAACCACTCACCCAAGACCCGGAGTTGTGGGCAGCGTCTATCCCACGTCGAATGGCACCCTCGGCCTGTCTGCCGACCTCGTGGCCCGCATCGCCCAGAGATCGCGCTGCTTCCCCGAGCCCGTGATCGAAAGCATCCCCCCTGGCCCCCCTCAGTGCGTAGCTGCCTTCCTCTCCATGCCCCTGACCAAGGGCATCCTGGATTCCAGAGCTGGCCGCTTCTTCAGCCCCTTGACCCACAGCCTCTCCAATTCCGTGGCTAATGGCGTCTCCCATTCCCTGTGAGGCGCTTGGGCCCGCGCCCTCTCCTCCGCTCTGCAGTGGGCTAGCCGCTCCACTACCCAGGCATAGGGTCAGCAGGAGACAGGCCAGGGACCCCCGTAGCTTCATTGCTCCCCTGAGGATCTTTGAGGCCCAATCTGTTTCTTGTTCCCTTCTCTCTTCCTCTGGACTATGGAACCTCCTCCTGCCTCTCTTTCTCTGCTTACCTGCTCTATCTCCCTCAGGACCCACAGCCCTCTCTCTCTCTCTCTGTTCCCCGACTCCCCTGCTTTCCAGAGTGTTCCTGCTTGTCACTACCCCTTATACTGTAGGTTGGGAGAAGGTAACAGGGCTGGGCAGCCCAAGATCCCTCCTCCAGTGACTCAGGGCCTATCCAACACCGATAGGGTAATGAAGCTTAATTGTGACTGAGAGAGCCTGTGTTGAAACAGAGAGCGCCGGACATCAGGGAGGGAGGGAGGGGAAGAATTGGATGAGACGGATGCAAAAGTGTTCCAGTTGCCTAACCCCAGGAATGTGGGGCACAGGGTGGGGACAGGAGCATCCGAGGAGACAGGTGTTGATGTCCTCTGGAGGTGTCAGGGTGGGGGTACTTTGGAAACAGGACTCCCAAACAGGTGAGACCCAAACAGTATAAGGAGAGGGAAGCCGCAATGCTAAGGGACCCATTCCAAGTAAGCCGTCATGCTCAGGGGACATGAAGACAGGAGCGAGGTGACCTTTCTTGGTCCCTTCTTAAGTTCAGTGGGCATTCCCTGCTGCCACCTCTCCCCTGGCACACCTCCACCTGCAGGTGACTGCCCTGGCAACCCCCACGGCCCGGGAGACATTTGGGGACTCTGGGGCCGCAGTTAAGTTCTGAGGTTCTGGGGATCCTGGTGTTGAAGGAGTTGAACACTTCTGCGAGTGGTCCAGCAAGGAAGGCTTTGGGGCAGCTGTCACTGGGAGCTCAGGGGCCCTGGGTAGGGAACACGGGAGCTGGGCGGGTCAGCCACCCCCAGGGGAAGAGTGGGCGGGAAAGACCAAGAGAGGGAGAAGCTAAGCCAGACACCCATCCTGTTTACCTGGATGGAGGTCCCTGCGTGTCTAAGAGCTCACAGTCACTATGCTGCCCAGGGACCAGGGCAGCCCTGGCAAGGGAGGAGGGGTCAGCACAAGATCACCCCGTGGCCCTCACCCTGGGTCACAGTTCCAGTGGGGAACCCGGGCATCCTCCCCACAGCTCATCCCTGTTGGACAAGTGTGACTGCTTCTCCGTTCCCAGGGGCCCCGGGTCCTCCCTCTTGGAACTGCCCTGTATCACCCAGCTTCATCACCTAGTTAGGAGGGGCCAGTTTCCATCTGCCTTTCTCAATGCCTCTCCCCACCCCAGCGTCCGCACCCCAACTTCAACACTTCTCTGTGCGTAAACACCATTCCTGACTGTCCCCCGCTCCTGCCTCCATTGTGGACAGTCACGCTGTTGCTACTAATACTGCTAATAATAATAATCACAGCTCCGGCTTGTCAAAAGCTTTCCATGCGGCCAGATGTCTATGGTGGCTTCTGTGTGGCCAGAGTCACCCAGCCCTGAAAGACAGCGCTTTTTATTGCCCCATGTAGACGTGCAGACACTGTGGTTCAGAGAACACAGAGGGCCTGAGTCAAGCCAGGAGCCAAGCCCAGACCTGCCTCTGGCAGAGCCTGGGCTACGAAGCCTTGTCTGTCACTCCAGCGTGGAACACCAACCCTTTCTTGCCTAGATGGAATTGTTGTTGTTTTTCGAGGCAGGGTTCCTCTGTCTTGTTTTGGAGGCTGTCCTGGAACTCGCTCTGTAGACCAAACTGGCCTCGAACTCACAGAGATCCGCCTGCCTCTGCCTCACGAGTGCTGGGATTAAAGGCGTGCTCCATCAACGCCCGGCTGGAATTAATTTTGATTTTGTTCTGGAGCTATGTATGAAGAGGGGGGTGTGGGAGGAAATCTGGGTCCCCAGGATGAGTGACACAGCCTCCAGTGCCTGGGCCCGCTGATCCCACTCACAGGTCGGGTACAGGAGGAACTCCAGGACAGAGAGCTCACTGACTCATAAGTCTTTCTGTGGTCACCCTGGCCGGGCTTCACGTGCCTGGTCCCGCCCTGTCCCCTCTGCACGGATGCTTGCTCTCCCTCTATAGCTTACTTTCTTAAGACCATCAGAGGAGCCTGGCACAGTGCCACACATCCCCGACACTTGTAAGTCATGAACTCAAGGCCAGCGCAGGCTGCACAGCAAGACCCTATCATCTCAATCAAACAAACTACAAAGAACATTATGAGAAAGTACTTTACGGGTTGGCAAGACGGCTCACTTGCCACCAAGGCTAACCATCCGAGTTTGATCATCTGACCTCACTTGGAAGACTGAAAGTTGTTCTCTGACTTCCACGCATGCACCATGGGACAGGCACACACAGAAATCCATGTGCACATAATAGCAATAATAATTGATAAAAATGCTTTACATTTTTACGAGGATCCCCTTGGATCTTAGGTAGAAGTTACCAGAAGAACACAGAGTAAGAACACATTGTTTTGCAGCTGGCCACAGTTCCTGGGTCTCCTTTGTTAAAAGGAGAGTTAGCTGCAGAGATGACTCAGTGGTTAAGAGAGCTTGCTGCTCTTCCGGAGGACCTGAGTTCAGTTCCCCGCACCTGCTTCAAGTAACAACTCACTTTAACTCCAGTTCTAGGGGATCCAGCGCCCTCTTCTGGACTCAGAGGCACCTGCACTCTTTGGGTGCAGGACAACAAGACCTCAGTCTTGACCACGAAACTCTCCCAGGAGGTTGACTCTCATAGTGCTGGAAGGTACCATGCAGACTACTGGAAGAGCAAATGGTCTTCTCCAGGGTTGGGCCCTGCCCTTTGTAGTAACAAACTGCCGTGAAAGTTACACCCTCTGGGACAACAGTGGCATGATGGTTATGAGAGCAACCAATACATTTCTGATCGGGTCTGAGACCTGCTCCACGGGAGGGATTCTGTGTGTGGTACTGCAAACCTTGTCAAAAGCTCACGGCTTGAGAGATCACAGACCCTGGAGGGAGGCCTACTGGTACTGATTCACTAAACGGCGGTGCTGACAACCTACCTTCTTCGTCTTTACGAAAGGTTTATACTCACAGAGCTTCACGCTCTCAACTTCGCCTGGAGAAGCTCCTTTTGCAGTGGGCGGCGATCGACACAGAGCCTCAAAACTGGTCGGTATGCCGAGAGTAAGTGACTGTGGGTGTCCAGTCGCCTACCCCAGCTTCCCACAGTTCGAGGCGGCTTAGGAAACATCTGAAGAGCAGGTCCAAAGGCTATAAGCGCTTGCGGGGGGAGGGGAGCTGTGAAGTCCTGACTGCAGGGATGAGACGGTTGCTGTACACATGAATTCACGGCAGCCGTGGCTGCTAACAGAAGCCTGTACAAACCCTAGGGAGTCGACACTCCACACTGGATGATGGGAGGGGACTTCCGAGGCCCTGGCTCTCGCTGAGGGGCTGTTGCAGTTGATGGCTTCTTTTTTATTTTTTCCCTTTATATCTTTGCTTTTATTTTTTGTTTGATATTTTAAAATTTATTTTTTATGCCCCAATCCCAGTTTCCCCTCCCTCCTGCTCCCCCCTCACACCTCACATCTGCTCCTGAGAGAAAGAAAGTCTACTAAGTCTGTCCCATCATCTCCTTGAGGCAGGACCAAGGCACCTCTCCACCCCCACACCCCGCACCCCTGTGTCTAGGCTGGGCAAGGTATCTCTCCATTTAGAATGGACTCCACTAAGTCAGTTTGTGCATTAGAGTTAGATCTTGGACCCACTGCCAGTGGCCTCATATACTGTCCCAGCCACACCACTGTCACCTATGTTAAGGGAGTCTAGTTTGTTCTTATGCAGGTTCCCCATTTGTCAGACCTGAGTCAGTGACCTCTCACTAGCTCAGGAGCTGATTCTGTGGGTTTCCCCATCATGGTCTTGACTCCTTTGTTCATGTTATTGCTCCTCCCTCACTTCAATTGTACTCCAGGAGCTTGGCCCATTGGTTAGTTGTGGATTTCTGCACCTGCTTCCATCTGTTTCTGGAAGAGGGTTCTAGTTTCTTTGTGTTTTGGATTGCAGGCTGGGTATCTTCTGCTTTATGTCTGGTGTCCACTTATGAGCAAGTGCATACTTTATTTCTCTTTCTGGGTCTGGGTTACCTCAGAATGGTTTTTTCTAGTTCTGTCCATTTGTCTGTAACTTTCAAGATGTCATTGATTTTTAACTGCTGAGTAGCACTCCATTGTGTAAATATACCACATTTTCTTTATCCATTCTTCAGTTGAGGAACATCTAGGTTGTTTCCAAGTTGTGTCTATTATAAATAATGTCGGTATGAACACAATTGAGCAAATGCCCTTGTGGTGTGAATGTGCCTCCTTTGGGCATATGTCCAAAAGTGGTATTGCAGGATCTTGAGATAGGTTGATTCCTAATTTTCTGAGAAATTACCATACTAATTTCCACAGTGGCTGTACAAGTTTGCACTCCCACCAGCAATGGAGGAGTGTTCCCCTTTATCCACATCCTCTCCAGCAGAAGCTGTCATCCGTGTTTTTTTATTTTAGCCATTCTGATCTGTGTAAGATGCTATCAAAGAGTTGTTTTGATTTGCATTTCTCTGATGACTACGGATGTTGAGCACTTCCTTAGGTGTCTCTCTCCACCATTTGAGATTGTTCTGTTGGGAATTCTCTGGAACTGTACCCTGTTTTTTAATTGAATTATTTGGTAGTTTGATGTCTAGTTTCTTGAGTTCTTTGTATATTTTGGAGATCAGCTCTCTTTCAGATGTGAGGTTGGTGAAGATCTTTTCCCATTCTGTAGGGACCTTGTTGACTGTGTCCTCTGCTTTACAGAAGCTTTACAGTTTCAGGAGGTCCCATTTATTAATTGTTGCTTTCAGTGTCTGTGCTACTGGTGCTCTATTTAGGACGTGGTCTCCTGTGCCTATGCATTCAAGTGTATTTCCCACTTTCTATTCTATGACGGTCAGTGTAGATGGATTATATTGAGGTCTTTGATCCATTTGGACTTGAGTTTTGTACATGGCGACAGATATGGATCTGTTTGCATTCTTCTACATGTTGACAGCAGTAATACCAGCACTATTTGTTGAATAGCTTTCCTTTGCCATTTTGTATTTTAAGTTTCTTTGTCAAAAAATTAGGTGTTCATAAGTGTGTGGGCTGATATCAGGGTCTTCAATTCAATTCCATTGGTCCTCCTGTCTGTTGTTGTGCCAATACCAAGCTGTTTT